CTAGTTTTGGACTCTCTTGTCTGTTCTGTTGGTCTTTTTGTCTACAGGACCACATTGTCCGAAATTTAGAGTAAACTATAAGTCTTGAAAGGTCTTTCCAAGACCATTCCATTTCCATGTAAATTTCAGAATTGGTGTGTTAATTTATAGGATTTGATTGGAGCTTTACTGAATTTATAGATCCATTTGAAAGCAGATATCTTAATGCTGGATCTTCTCCATGAAGCATTTGTGCAGATCACCTTTAATTGCTTTTAGAAATGTCTCATAGTGAAGACATCTTTATAGTTTGTCAAGCTATACCAAATGAACTTAAATAAACTCATCTTTAAAATAACATATAGTTATTTTTAGATATTTCCAAGTGACTTTAAGAGTGATTTTACAAAAAAGAGCTAGCTATTATAGGTAAGGAATTACCTATAAATTAAATATAGATAAGAATGAAAAATAAGAACACGTTTCTATCACTAAGAATACTAATCTGTTCATGTACACATGGTTATCTGTACATGCATTTTTAAACCATATGAAATCATACCAAACAGGCTGTTTTGTAACGTTTTTTGAATGCATTAACCTATACTTTTTCATGTCAGTAGCATTTCTTCCTACTTAAAATATTGTGCATATTTAGGTTTCCCCAGCTATCCCAAAATGTCTTTTACAGTTGTTTATCCAAATTAGACTCCAATCCAGAAATCTGAACTGCATTTGACTGTTATATCTGCAAGTCTCTTTTTACCTAACACAATCAGATGTGGTAATTTCTACTGTGATGGTTAGAACTTACTTAATTATAAAGATTGTAAAAGCCCATAAAAAGCAATGTGATAAGAAAGAGGTCTGTTTCTCTTTTCTGTCAGTGTCTTAGAGAATACCAACTGACTCCTCTTCCAAGAAAGAACAATAGTGAACTTGATCATCATCACTCTCAAGAAAGTTCCTGTTACTAAAGTCTTTCTTTTTTTGAAGCATTAGTCACTATTTTCCTTTATCTCTTAATTATTAGACTATAAAAATACTTAAGTCAGTCACTGTTTTTCATAAGTTTTAGAAAAGCTAGTGATTTAAAGTAAAATTAAGACTACTAACCTCTGAAAAATAATTATATAAAATATTTTTCTAGGTAAAGTATACCTTATTTCTCCATTTCTATTCTTTGTTTGTTTGTTGGTGATAGTAGGAGACTGAACCTAGAGCCTCAAAGCCTTTATACTGAGCTAGGTTCCCCACACTTTTAGTTTGGAGACAAAGTCTCACTAAGTTGCCAAGTTATTTAGGCTAGTTATCTAGGCTAGGCTAGGCTCGAGTTTGTCTTTCTGCCTCAGCTTTCCAGAGTGCTGGGATTGCAGGCATGTGCGACCACTCCTGTCTGATCCTTTTTTTTCCCCCCATTATGAACAAATGTGTATTTGATGAAAAAGCTAAAAAAGACTAAATTCCTCACTAGTTTTGAAGAGGCGAAGGAAGGTATTAAGATTCTCAATGAGTCACAGACAATGAGTATGTTACAGAGGAAATGTAGTTAAAGTTCATGGATCAGGTTACAAGCTTTAACATAGAATACTGAGCAAACCTGAAAAAGTTCTTTTAAAAGAAGTTAAGCAATTTTTAAAAAAACCAATAAACTGAGTGAGCTTCTTATTAAGAAAAAGAATCACAGAAGGGGAAAAGTATTTTTATAGTCTAATAATTAAGAGATAAAGGAAAATAGTGACTAATGCTTCAAAAAAGGAAAGACGTTAGTAACAGAAACTTTCCTGAGAGTGATGGTGGTCAAGTTCACTATTGTCCTTTCTTGGAAGAGGAGTCACTTGGTATTCTCTAAGACACTGACAAAAAAGAGAAACAGATCTCTTTCTTGCCACATCTTACTTAGCCTGTTTGTTTGCTTCTGGCAATTATTTCTAAAGTCTAATGTTGAATTATTCTTAAATTATTTTGTGTAGCATTCTTTATCTTTCCTAGAATACTGCCTTTTCTATTATGAGATAATAGTAGAGGTCCTTAGTCTGGCTTCTGGACCTCAATAAATCCCTAGAAGCTATATGAACAGTGTTGTGTATTTTTCTAGTAAATCAGCAACTCATAACATATGATAATCGCTAAAACCATCCAGGCATGGTGGTACACATCTGTAATTATAGCTGCTTGGGAGGCTGGAGGCACAAGCATTGCAAATTCAAAGCCAGCCTGAATAAGTTAGTGAATCTCTGTCTTAAAATATAAAATAAAAAAGGCTGGGGAAATAACACAGTGTGAAGCACTCCCGGGTTCATCCTTGTACTTAAAAAAAAAAAGCAGTTTCTTTAGCTTTGTATCTATCTACTTGACAGACACCCAAAATAGATAATTTTCAATTATAACAAATAAAAGACATGTATGAAATAATATAATTAGTCTTGAAATCCAGATGGAGATGAATCTTCTAAGTGTTTTTCAAACAAATGGTAACCGTTTAGTGATTTGTGCCTATCATTTGAGGGGTAAATTCCATAACACAATAAACTAGACTAAAGCAGAAAATATCACAGTGGGCACTGCATACAATAAAGATATGATTTTATAAAAATAGATTTCAGTTTTACATGTATGTATGTAGGTTGTACGCTGGGTCATGATGTATAAAACTCACTGCTCCATTACCTGCTTATGTTTTTTTCTATTTTACATCAAATCTCTCCTTGATATGCTACTTCTATGGCAGTCCGGAACTACTGAAGTTATGACAGAAGTAGTAATGACGAACAATATATACTTAATATTCAACATGTATATTAATCTATAAAACTGGAAGAGAAAACTTAAAGAAGTAATTTGATTTAGATCTGTCCAGCTCAAAGCCCATACCTGCCAGGAGTGCTGGCAACAGGCTTGTAATCCCTAGCACTTGGAAGGCTGAGAAAGAAGGATCGCACGTTCAAGAGTAGTCAGCGCTACAATGAGTAGCCTGAACTATATAGAGAGATCCTATCTCGACAAACAAATGAACAACAAACCCATGCTTGCCGTATCAATTACAGGCAGTAGATCTAGATAATCTGAAAAGCAGATGTTTCACTTGGTGGCACATATGAATAGGGTCTTTATGGTTACATTTTCAAGAATAGACATCTGAACATCTAGGTAAGATTACTTGATTTTTACATATTGGCACAAATTAAAAACCAAGTTGAAACAAAACAAAAACCACTTTGTAGTCAAAACAGCTCCACGGTAAATACAGTCAGCAGGTGCTCAGTTTACAACTCGGCTCTCCATTTTATAATACTGCTCGTGCACCTAAGCAGACTGACACAGCCTAGGGGAGACCATTATCAACCATAGGCTTTCTAAGAATGACCAGTGGGATGGAAAAAGAACCTCAAAATACAACCATTCTTTAAGTGTGACCTTTTTTCATTTTGGGAGCTATGAAACACATATAATAGTTTTCTTTGGATAAACTATTGCTATTTTGAGAAAAAAAAAAAAATCACAAGAAATCCTGAGAGACAAGCCTGTGTGGAAAGTGATTTGAAATTAAAGGATAAAGAAAGTGTGAGTAAATATGTTTATATGATTTCTAGAGAAAATTTCCATTCAAGATTGAAGAGGTAAAAGCAAATCTCTATAAATGATAAAATTATTTAGAAAGACATACTTACATGTGATTAATTTTTGTAATATAACACTATAATTTCATAACTCCTTGTATTTTTATAGGGACATGACATCTTTCATGGAGATGAACTTGTCACAGTAGGTCATAAAGTAAAAAACTTATAGTCAGACTTATCCTCACAAATTTCTTAAAAAACCCTCTGTAATGGATTGGTTTTACATCTACTACATGTCTTCTCAGTAAGTTCAGGACAGATTTACTTCATCATTGGAATGGGTAATATTTCTTCAGTTATGTATGTTGAAGCACAGCTGAAACTATTAATTGTCACTCAGGCCAAGTGGACTGAATGTAAAATGTTATAGGGAAGGCAAAAGAATCTGAAAAGCAAACTTCTGCTATTAAAAAAAAGATCCTGCTTAAAATATCTGTAAGAAAGAGGCACTGAGTGGCTTTAATTCAGTATCAAAAATTTTGGAAAATAAAAAGAACATTCCTATGGGTGCCTTCCCCCCAAACATAACAACTCCTAAATAATCAGGATACAGTTAGTAAAATTTGAAAATGGATTCAGTGCATCTTTAACTGATTAAGTGAAACTTTTTTAAAAAGTCCTTTTTTAAGGAATTAAGACTGTTCTTGGTAATATAGCTGGTAACCTGAGTGCCAACCTTAATATTAGGCCTAGACAACCAAGCTGCCTAAACTTGCTCTGATGGAGGTAAAGATATTTTACTTCTAACCCAAATGTATGTTTCTTTTCTGAGATGTAACTGCAATAAAACAGGAATTTTAATGTTTTACTTTTCATTAAAGTTAGTAAACTGACATACAAATTCATACATGAATCATTTCACCACAACCTAATCATTTTTTAGGTAAAATAAAAATAACATACTTTTAGATAAAATAAAAATAACATACTTTTGAATTTGTAAAGCTAAAGTTTTGACATATATCTGTTTACTACAGATTAAGACACTGGAATAAAGAGCTTAAGAACTGCTGACTACAAACTAGCCATATCAGTAATTTTAATCACAACTTACAAGCTCCAAAACTCTAAAAACTGGGTGTCATTGTTACAAAGAACACTTACAGAAAATGTGGTTCAATACAGTCATAGTGGTAGGATTATTTAAAAGATATTACCCTATTCTGTAATCTGGGGACAGGAATTAAAAACATACTCGGAAAAATAGATAAAGGTATATGTACCACTGTAACATGTAAGGATTCTTGAAAATTAACTGGGTCAGCTCACTCTAACCAAACACTGGTTGGTTAACATAAATTGGTTCTCAGAAGTTAAAAAATAATCAGGTCATCAAATGTCTGATAAGTCAGTATAGACTTTGTAAGGCTTAAAGGCTCTTTACAAGGCATGACTTACCTGTATGGACTTGCACTGGTATAGGAATCGGGCTCCTGACACATGAGCCTGTGGGTTGGACTGAAGGCCTAAATATGCCCACAACACCTGGATCTCCAGAGAAACTGGTATGAAACAGCAGGAAGTACAGTTCATGGCCTGTAGAAGGTAAAGAAACATCTGCTTGAATGGCCTGATGGCTGCCCACAGTCATTTACCATGCATTACTGAGGCATTGTCTCTCAAGCATTATACAACAGTACAGCAGACAATATGGCTTAAAGGAAATACAGGTTCACAACAGACCATATTATTGTCCTTTATTTTAAAAAATTATATTTGAAAATGCAAATTACAAACATTCAGAAAATGTGCAGTGTTAATAAATGCTCAGTAAGTGATGTATAGTAATTCATTATTGTGAAAAATATCAAAAGAAATAGCTATTTCCGGCTCAGGATGACTTTGTGAGAATGAGTAACATGCAACTAAGAAGTGATTTAAGGCTAATCTGTGTAGAGATATGGCATATGAAAAAGTGTTCAAGCATATACGACATTCTATAGCAAGGGTAAGAACACAAAATAAGTCCCAATGAATTCAAAAAATCAAAGTCATTTATTTTCTTTGACCACGACAGAATAAAAGTAGAAATGAATAAGAGGAACTTTAGAAGTTGCACAAATATATGGACCTAAACAATATAGGTTATCCAAGATATCAAAATATTCTAGAAACAAATGAAAATAAAAAATATATCAAAAGCTATAGAATAACGGAAAACTAGTACTCGGAGGAAAGTTCATAGCAATGACTGCTGATATCAAAAAATAAATAATAAAAATATTTCAAGTGAACAACCTAACAATGTAACTCAAGGAACTAGAAAAGTAAGAACAAACCAAACCTAAAATCAGAGGAGAAATAACTGGAAACCAAAAACTGTAACAAAAGATTAATAAATGAAGTTAGTTTTAAAAAATATGCATACATAAAACCGATAAAACTTTAACTAGACCAACCAAGGAAAAAATAAGATCACAAATGAAAAGGGAAACATTACAACTGATACCCCTGAAATACAAAAGATTATCAGGGATTCTTACAGACAACTGTACACCAATAAATTAGAAAACCTAGAAGAAAGTGAGTCATTATCACAAAGTGCATTTCTCTTACTGAAACACTGCAGCTTCTGTTGAGAATACTGGCCCACCCTCCTTTCTGAGCTGGGTGAGCATTACCAAAGATGGCAACATGCTCTGGTCCCGGGCTTCCATGAAGAATCTGAAAAACCTCATTCCGCAACTGGCTGCAGTTTACCTCCTTGGACCTGTAATTAAACAGCACAGGGTCTGAGGTCCAGTGCTAACAACAGTATAACTATGTTACGATATTAATCCAAACATTAGAAACAACATTCTAAAATAGATTATAGGAAATAATCTTTAGTAGGTAGTAAGGGCTGTCAGAATCTCTTAACAATACAGTTCACTCCTACCATTTTCTAAAGTGTCAAATAAAATATTAGAAAGTTACCATATCCATATGTTCTCTAAGAGCTGAGACAAAACCTTGGGGAATGTAACAAGCAAACAATTACCTGAACTTGCATCCAGCCATTGTGTTCATTCCAAACTGTACTTCATATCTTTTAACAGAGCAAATTCCATTACCCTGGCTCTGTAAGAGGGTCATCTCAGGTAGAAAAGTGATGGTCAAGGAAAGCATAACAGAAAAGAAAGTAGGCACAAAGGGAAATGTATTCTTTTACTGTCTCCTATAATACACTTTATATTTTATTAATATATCATGATATTTAAGTCACAAATTTGCATTTTCTCTTAGTAGTGAAAAAATAGAGACAATTACTGTTTTTCTAAAAATAGTTAGCCATACATTAGTGTTTCATCAAAATAACCAAACATCAATGCAATCCTTACGTTTAGCCAGTCTAATATTAAAGCTTTAAAGCTAGTGGCGTTTTGTGGCACCAATATAATGTGGTAGAGTTACTTTAACTACTTGAAAAAGGAGAACATCTCAAAATTGGAAAACCCAGATCAGCTACTGCAACATTTCTCATTAAGCAGCAACAAACCACCCAGCTCAAAGATAGGATACGGAGTGACTGCTATCACCAGATAGCACCAAAAGTGGCCTCCCAACAACATAGCCAGGATTGCCACTTCTAGGAACAGTAGTACCAGGAGTGGTCGTGCTTTGCTGAACAGCCTACAGGAAGTGAAGGAGAGGCCAGCATGAGCAGCACATTTTCCCGCCTTCCACTGCTGGCTTCATTTGTTACCTTTCTTTAAGGCAATGCAATAAATGAACTACACTGAACAATCTGGCTTCCTTCCAGTGTGACATCCTGCAGTTTATATTCCAGTGTTTCCCTTTTTAGTCTCTTCACTAAATAAATCCTGAGTAAGCTGAATGTTGAAACTCATCATATGCTCATTTCTACCCAGGATCCTTTACACCTTATTTCTCAAAAATTACTATCAATTTAGGGGTATGTTCCTCTGGCTGAGAACAGAAGAATTTAAATGTAATTAAGAATACACACTTTAATGTAGTATAGATGCTCCAGAAATGAACTGTGAGACACTGGACCTAGCTGATCACAGAGTTGAGAGCTCTGCTGTGTTCAAAGAGAGGAAAGATGTAGAAGAAAGCCAAAAGGTAATGATCAAGACTAGAAACAGGCTCAGTGGGGAAGTAAAATGATGTAAGTCCAAAATATAAAAAAATCTAGTTAAAAATTCCCATGGAATGTTGGCTGAGTTTATGATTCAAAATGACTATTTAAGAAAGAGCTCTGATTTTTTTCTTCTTCCTTCCCTCTGCACTGAGGACTGAACAAGGGCCTTCTCCTCCAGTACTTCCCCAGCTCTTTCAAACAGGATCTTGTTGAGGCATTAGGTTGCCCTGGCTTGGCTCAAACTTTTAATCTTTTGCCTTAACTTCCTAGAGTGCTGAGATTATGGGGGTGTCCTTCCATGCCACATTAAGAGTTCTGATTTGAGTGTTGCTTTGCTGGAACCTAGACAGTCAAGAGAAAATATTAATAAATATGTGAATAGCTATTTAATAGTTAACTTAAGAAATGTCAGCATCCCTTATGACAGACTGAATTGGGACTTCATTTTTTTTTTTTTTTTTTTTTTTTTTTTTTTGAGGTCTAACTATGTAATTAGGGTTGGCTTTGAACTCACTATGTAGCCCTGGCTGGCCTTGACCTTGCAGATGATTCTCTAACCTCAGCCGCCCAAATGCTGGCATTCCAGGAGTGTGCCACCCAGCCCAGCTCTGGAGTTCATATTCTTATACTATTTTGCATTCATTACAGAGGCAGAGGATTATTTCTAACCAGATACATTTTGCCTTCTTGATCCCCTACAAGAGAAGGGCTCTAACCCTGAAGCGAATGATGAAGTCTTGTTGTAAGGAAACAGTTGGTTCAACAGGCAGGTTGATTTGTTTAAAACTGACAGAAACTTTCTGGATTCCAAACGTTCCATTGATTTCTATCTCATACGTGACCTGAAAGGCAAAAGAAGAATAAAATGATTGAAATGATTATGTTTAGGACAGAAGGGGTTCTTTCTGTCTTAAATATGGCAAACACAAATACTATAAAGAGATAAATATGACTTTAATTTCATTTGCACATGGAAAAAAAAGACCAAAATGACCCTTTGGAAGAGTTCATGGAAGAGATGAGTTTAGAAAAAGTTAAGTTTTGCTTGTGGGCAAGTATTAGAATCAGAGGCATAGGACAAAAAAAACAAGGTTACTTGGCTTTTGCACTGTCTGGATATAAAGAAAGACAGTGCTTAGTGATACTGAAGTCATAAGCACTGGAAGGTAAACTTAAGTTCCTGAGCACAGACTGTCAAGTGACACGTTAAGATAATATTTACTTCTCTACATTAGGTTGATCAGAAGAGAGGACAAGTTGATTTATCCATTTCAGACTCAGATGATACTGACTTTGTCAACAAGAGAAAAAGTGATCAGTTGGTAAAAGCCAGGAAGAAGAGTTATTACAACTATTTTACTATTATGAACCTAAAATACTGGAGGATGGTGGCAGGGGACATAAGTGAAATATGATAGGGAGGAACATCTTAGTTCAAAGTGAATTCTGTGAGGCTAAACTCTTGACATGTTAAATTTCAGCAAACATAAAACTTCAGGTGGGGTCAGTTTAGCACCTTGTGGAAAGTGAAACACCTATGGCAATACTGATCAACATGTATCAGTCTAGAATCTGAAATCAACAAACCTACCTGGGAAACAACATTCTGACAAGTGTTTCCGGCCAACAGAGAAGAACTGGCCTGAGAAGCAAGTGTCACAGGAACCTGGAACTGGTAAGTAAGGGAAAGAGGCCCATCAACCAAAATTGAGAGGTATGTTTTCTCTTTCAGCTGCATTTCATACCAAAATGAGTATTTTTCTTTCCTTGATCATCATTTTCTCTCTCCTTCCATTGCCAGCATACAATTAAACCAAAAATCTAAATCAGTCTAAATCCATACATCTCAAAACATAGTTCTAGAATGCATCTATCACAGTCAAACATATTTTAGAAATACCACATTCAACATTCCCTTCTTACATATTAGTAAGGGTATCTAGCATTAAGACCCAAGAAGCTCACCTTAAATATAATGTTTAACTTTAACTCACTGTTTTCCAGTTAGATAATACATTAATCTCTACTTCATATGAAGGTATTGATCATATTGACCACTGTTTTAGATCCATAGTTGACTGTGATACATCACACTTTTTTCCCCCACTATTACAATCTACACTGAAATTGCCTCAGATTCCAAAAAACCAATTTTTTTTCTTTTTCCTAATAGCATCATACCTTCATATTCTGCAGATCAGTCATACCTTGTGGAACCTAGAATAAGTGAAGAGTGGAGACATGAGGATGCATATACCTTTCATAAAAGCACCAAGGGCTGGTGATTCTATGTTACCACCAATCTGCTCTGATGGTGGTGGTGATAGAAGATAAACACATTAGAATGCTTTTTCTTTTCTCCCACATTACTCTTCCTTACTTTAGTATGCCAAAGACAGACCTGAGATTGGACAGACTTGACTCCCTACTCTGAATGAGCTCTACTGAACAGTAAGAACAAGAAGTTTGGTGAAACAGTGAGACGTTATCCCTTTCTAACCTGCCTGAAGTCAGTTCACTAGCCAGGAGAGAGATAATGTTTTATCCTAGATATACACCCTTAAATCTTTCATTTTTCTTCAGATGAGAGCACTTTTAGGCCTGCTACTTTTTATGTAGCTCTTAGAGATTCTGACTTCAGGTTCAGTGGTGTCTTGCAAGAGTGGGAAGCATGTTGATTTTAAATACACAATGCTTACAGAGTGGAGAGAGGAGGACACCCACCTTCAAGACTGAGAAGTTATAGTAAGAGGCAGCATCCAAGGCTGGATCCAAGGTACAGCTACTTGCCAAGTTCTTGAAGATACGAGTGCAGGTTGTACTTTTACTCTCTAAGAAACCTACAAACACAAAGAAGGCAGAGATAAATAGGAAAGCATACTTTAATCAACCAAAAAGGCTGGTACTTCTGTCCTTGACTCACCTGCAGGATTTCTCTCAGCACACACTCCCCTAGCTCCCACGCTTGCAGGCTGCCTCAGCAAACTTATTATAGACCATTTGGGAAAGTAAGTCAGAATGGGGTCCCCAGCCTACATAAAATATAGAAGACATTTTTCCCACAATAAGATTGGATTGAACTATACCAGAAAAGAGAAAATGAAAAACAAACTCAACAGTTTGTTTACATGGATAGCACTGTCTTCCACAAGAGCTGACAATTGTTTACCCGTTGTAGGAAAGTACCACAAAGATACCTTGCCAATTGTCTGCTATGAGGGAAAAAACTAAACAGTTCCATCCCCTTCCTCAGGCTCACCTTGTAAAAAGCTGGTGGTGACTGGGATTTCAATGTTGAAATGAATGAATCGCCTCCAAACTCTGCAGCCAGGGCTTGGAAATTAGTTTCATTGACCTTTTGGAGCTTCTGGAAATAGTTTAATTTTGCTAAAATGTTTTTAAAAAGAAAAGTTTAGATAAAAAGAAAAACGCTTATTTTTAAATATCTGGCATGCCAGGTAACTAATTACAAGTTTCTTTTAGCTTATATAATGATTAAACTCATTGTAGAGAGTTGGCACACAACACATCTAAATTCTTTTTTCATCACATTCTGTTCTCTTCATCTCTTGGTCTCCTTTCCTTTTATAAGAAACCTATCTCTCTGTTAGGTAACTAATTTTTAAAAACTTATTTATTTATTGGTACCAGGAATCGAACTCAGTATCTTGCACATGCCAGGCAGCTGCTGTGCTACTAAATTCCTGGCCCTTAAAAACATATTTATTGAAGCATGAAATACAAGAAGTGATGTGTATGAATGCACTAAAGTATCAACTTAAAGGCATTTTATAAACTTACATACTGTATTACCACCATCCAGACAAGTCATACAATCTTATTCTAGAAGATTCCAAATCAATCCACTGATAGAGACTAATTCAGATTTCAATCACCTCTTTATTACCTGTTAATCGGATTACTTTTACAGTATTAACACCAAAGTAAAGAGAAGGATCAATGAATGCCACTCCATTCTTACTGCCATGAATAGATATTATTAGCAAGTTGCAATGAAAATGGAATAGTCCTAATTGATCGACACAAGATAAGTCTCTGATACAAGATGATACCGTTTCCATAGAAATATAATAAAGTTAAGAGCTTTTTGATTGGTTCTCTCCAGTCTTCCCCTTGTTTCTTCAGAACTTCAACTGACCAGTTCTATAATGTAGTAATATATTCATCTCTTAACAGTACCATGGTCATGAACTTAATTTGTTCTACAATTTTGGGACAGCCACTTTTGTGTTTGTGTGAGAAAGGTGGTCACAGTTGTATTTGTTACTCAAAGAAGAGTTTGCAACAAAAACTCTGTTAAACACTTCTGTCTGCAAAACAAATTGTGAGCAAAAGTGTTCACGTACCAAGGTACCACTGTATATAGATTAACTGGTTTTATTTCTTTTCCCTTATAATTTCTAGTCAAGATTTCAGACAACCAAATAGGGTATTTTTTTCTAATGACTTTATACTTCTCTTAGAGCAAACATAAATCTATCTATCCAAGTGCCTGCAGCAAGCATTCATAACCAATTCAGACAGCAGATGACAGATAGCACTAGGCTTTACTACTCCAAGTTTCTGCTAACTTTAAAAAAGAACATAGCGAAACATGTTCCCTGATCCTTCCCTTCCTCATATAATTATGCCACTTGGACAGAGTAAAATAACAACCTGAGTCTCTAAAAGTTAATGAGGATTCCACATTAAATATGCTTGACCTTTATCCTACATAATCAGAACATCTCAATTATTTGACAATTTTTTGTCAAATTAATCCATATTATTGGTCAGCTGAAGTTTAGAGAAAAAAGAAAGACTAGGGAGAACAGATCATCTATGATCTCTAACTTTAACAGCATCGTTTTGCAGTAGAGGCTCAGCTGGTATAGACCAAACAGGAGCATTATCATATTCCTTTTTATCACCACAAATTGCTAATCATACCCTTTCTTGGCCATCAGAGACTTCTGAAGCATTGTTTTCATACTAAACATGAATCCATTGCTTTCCCTCATTCAAGGAGAATTCACTGACATCATAATATACTATTACTAGTGGAAATAGCCATAATTCTCAAGTGCTGTCAGGGAATTACAGGTCCAGAAACTGTGTCAGATAGGATGGGAAACAGAAGGGGAGAGCATGAAAAGTGAGTATCAGTTGGGTGTTATAATAATGACCCTAAAACATGCTCATAGATCTGGAATTTAGATAGCAATAAAAATTGGGAAAGGGTAAGCCTATCTTAAAATGAAGAATTCGTGGGAATGGAAGTAAAGATAGCAGAGTGGTAGAGTACTTGCCTAGCTCGTACCAGGCTCTGGGATCATTCCCCAGCACTACCAAACACAAAACAAAACCTTACCTCACTCCCTTTACCTTTTTACCTCTTACAATCTAAATGATCATGGGACTCCTAATCGCTTTTCAAACTCAAGTCTTCCCAAGCTGAAAACTATTTTCTGAGACCAATATACTTTTGCAATTTCTTTTCTAAAATCAGATAAATCAGACCATTGATTTTCAGAATTTAACAGACATTACATTTATTTTGTGTGGAAATACTGCTTAAGAGACATTTTAAAAGACATGTCTTCATATCTTTAGAAATGGTATAGTTATCACTAGCAAACTTCTAAATCCATTAAAAGCTCCCCATTAATAACCACTGTGTATCATTACTGTACTCTACAGTTACAGAATACTTTCACATCCAGGGCCAATGATACAGATTTCTCATTTTACAGTTGGAGAAAGGAGCCTAAGTAAGTTCTGCTCAAGTCTGTAGACTTTGTAAAAAAAAGTAAATAAACAAAACAGCCGGTCACAAATCCTAGGCAAATGTTCCTTTCCATGCCCTATTGCTTCATGAAAAAACAAAGCAAAACCAAGGCTGGCATAGATCATTTGCCAAAAATATTTATTATTTGGTGCCTACAATGTGGCAGGCACTGGGAATCAGTGAGTGCTGTCATGGAGACTGTAGCAAGTAGAGGAGATACTCTGTGATTAATTAAGCTTATAGGGATGATTGGAAGTATTGAAATTAAAGTTCTATAAGAGTCTAATCCACAGCCTGTGGAGCTTAACAAATGGCAAAAGTTATCTTGGGAGTGAGAGTGAACAGGGAAAGGGACAGAAGGAAAAAAGGGTGACACAGATTCAAAGAAAACTAAAAACTTTAAAAAAGAAACAGCCAGAGACAAAGCCACGTTTCAATAAATACATTTCTTTTTTTTTTTTTTTTAAATAAATACATTTCTACTCACAGTTGTTCACATGGACACAAAACTGTCTGATGCCATCTGAATCCATGAAAACTCTGGAAGAAAATGGGGAATTACTGCTGCAGACAAGAGAGTTGTCTACACACACCCAACTTGAAGATCTGTAAGGAAAGAGGATGAGGATGTATTTAGGAGGCAGGTCTATAGAACTGTGTTCCCCGAGTGTCAGGCAGGTACAGCTCAACTTCCCACGTTCTAAATCAGAAAAGGTCACACTTGCGGTAAACCAAGGGGCCAATCTAAAGGCAGAGGTAAGGGTACGGAGTATCCTACTTTCAGTATTACTCACTGTACGCCCCGAATCCCTTTAGGATTCAAGCTGAGCACACCAATTCACCTGACGCTGCCCGGAAGGCAGAAGGAGAAAACGGTCCTCGGATGGAGAAGGTAGCAGTCCCTGTCGCAGCAGCAATTTACATCGCAGGCACCCAGAGTCAAATCACAGACACAGGTCGGTAGGACTATGAAAGCACGACAAAAAGCAGACTGAGGTGAGGATCCCCGAACTCTTCCAAGTACCATTTCCCTCTTTTTTCCCACAGCCCCAGTTCTCGCTTTATTGCAAGTCAACCTTTCCCACAGAATTTCAGATCTGAAAAGTCAGCGGCACTTACCTCACAACCCTGCCCTCACCTGTAAAGAGGTCTGTAGTCTTATTCTCCGGCGCCATGGGGGTCACAAGAGTGGGGCCCATCGTGGGGAGCCCAGGGACGCTCTGGGAGGTCGGAGACAGCGCCGCCGAGGGCTGCAGGGTCCCTCCCTGAGTCTGTGGCTTTACGACTGAAGAGGTGGGCGCTGTCCCTGACAGGAAGGAAGAGGGCTGAGAACGAGCGTCTTCGGGAAGCATCAGAAAGAACACAGGCAGCAGCACGAGCCGCGAGATGCACATGGAGCCCTTGAGACGCTGGAAAGAGCCAACGTCTAGCTCCCGCGCGTCCAGACCTTGCTAGCGGGGGTAGGTGTGGGGGGAGGTGGGAGGAGTTGCGAAACGTTTGGTGTTATCCTTCTATTCATTGGCTCTTGGCGATTCCGGCAGAGATCTTCAACCAATAAGAAGCAGGCTTGTTAGAACTCCCTCAACGTCCTGAGGCCTGGCCCACCTCCTTGGGCTAGTCCGGCACAGCCTCCGTCGCCTGGCAACCGCCGAGTGCCAAGGAGCCCTTGCTGCATCTCCCCGCTAGATGGTAGTAAGAGTTCGGCTGACCGACTGTGACCCTGAGTCTCGCGCAGACTTCACGGCTCAAAGTGAGTCTTTCCTTGGCGCAGGGAAAACCCCGAGGCCGGAAGCAGAATTACATATCTTTTTCATCCGGGATTTCTGTGGTGAGAAATTTGTTCTATTGGATGGATTGATGTTCATAGGGAGGAAAGTACAAACGTGAAAAGGTTTTTAAAGTCACATACCTTTTAAAAAGTCTCCCCTAACTATAATTATTTTGGAAAATACGTTGAGAGTAATACTTCTTAAAATGTTTTGCTTTCCTTAGAAGTAGCAAGCCTCTTCCAAGTATCTAAAACAGAAACGTTCAGTCAAATTTTCTGCATTCTTGGAACCGCATGAGCTGTATCTGTTCACTGGCACATTAGGCGATTCCACACTATAGAAATACGCCCTGTGCGACTGAGGGACTGAGTTTAGTTTACTTTCTAATTCAAAGTTAAACAACTGTAGTTGACTAGTAGGTATTGTATTGGGCAGTATCATTGTACTGTATTGGGCTCTACGTCAAAATCTCACTTCTCAAAACCAGTATTTTCCTGTCTCCACAGTTCTGGATTATTTCAGTTATTTGTTTAGGGGATATAATTTAAGAGATGTGAAGAGTTATCTAAAATTTAGCACACTATTTAAATCTAGTCAGTAACTACCTTTCCAAGTGAATCACTTAGGCAGATAAGTTTTAGATCACCTGAACTTTCTCACACCGTCAGACAAGATCTTTATTTTCTAATATTTTGAAGTTAGCACCTAAAGGCATCTATATTATAAATATTCTCAAACATATGTGATGGGGTGATGAACTGCTGTGAGCGATACCCCTATTTGTACATTGTCTCTACCCTGTTATTAATTTTCATCAAAAAGACCAAGTTCAGGTTATTCAGTTACTGTATTTATCAGAATGTGTGATGTGTAGCATATTATGCCTGTTTTGTTCATTGGTGTATCCTCTTGCATATGGCAGTGAATAGGACATGTTAGATATATTTAAGTATTTAAGAAATATATTAGAGCCTGTTTTGTTGAATTCTTTTTTTTTTTTTTTTTTTTTTTTTTTTTTTTTTTTTGGTCTTTTTTTCTTTTCGTTTTTTCGGTACCAGGGATCGAACTCACGACTGCCTGCTTGCAAGGCAGGTGCTTATGCCATTGAGCTAAATCCCCAGCCCCTGTTGAATTCTTTAGATCTGTTAGGAATGTAATGTTTTATTTTAGGATTACATGTCTTTCTGTAACATTTCCCTTGTACATTTGGTCAGAGACCATTTTAGATTTTAGAGTTTAGAATTACAATTCTCAATCAGCGTTGTTATTCCTGGATTTGTCAGTGTTGGTGAGTCTGTTGGTTGAAATAATTTCAGGGTTGAGTGATAAGAAAATGTTTCAGAACAATCTGAATTGCTTTTTCTTATTTTTGAATTTTAGCACTTGAAAAAATTTTAGAAAAGCTAACTTTTTTTCCCTGTCTTTTTTATAGTTGATAAAAATTATTCACACTGTTGCTGGTATGCTTAGGAATCTTTGTAAGACAGAATCTTGATTTTTAAATGTTAAAGTATGGGAGATAATTTTGAGGAAAGAATAAAATTTAGTCACATGTCATGCAGATACCAATTTTAGCATGGGAACCAAATTAAATCATTTAATATGACATCACCTCAGAAGCAGAGATTTCCAAATTAGATCATATGATACCAACATCTGTCTGCTTTTAGATTTTGAAATGTTCAATATGTGACTGGAAATTTAGCTTTGAGATTGAATCAAGATGGCAGAGAACAAGTTCTAGTTTCTCCGTCTTTCACAAATCTTTTTCTCAAAATTACACAAAAGTTAGATGGGTACATAGACTTATATACATTCATTTATATACTTTGGTGTTGAAAAACTATTGTTTCCAAAGGCTCACATGTTAATAGTTTCTTCTCCAGCCTATGGCACTACTGTGAGATGACACAACCTTTAAGAGATGGGACCAAAAGTAGGAAGGTCATTGGGCGTGTGCCCTCTCAGGGGATATTGGGATGCTGCCCTTGCCTGTCTTTTGCTTTGCTTTCTGGCTACCAAGAGAGGAGTTCTTTCCTCCACTATATGCTGCAGTATATGCTACAGTAGAATGTATTGTGTTGGCTCACTACAATCCTAAACCCAAGGGGTTTAATCAACTAGAGACTTAAACCTCCAAAAATCTAAGCCAAAATGCGTCTTTCTTCCTTAAAAGTTTATTATTTCAGATATATTTGTCACCGTGACAGAAAGCTGATAGAGTGTTAATCAAATGACTTGATAAGCAGCTCAATATCATCATTAATTAGGGAAATTCAAGTGAAGATAACAATAAAATATAATTACAGAACTTTTACAGCTATTAAAATTTTAGAAGACTGACAATTCCTAGTTTTAGTGAGGTTGTGGAGTAACTGGGACTCTCACTTGCTACTGATGATAGTAATGTAGGATATTAGGGCTAGAAAAAAACACTCAAACACTTGGGCTAGAAAAAAACACTCAAACACTTGGGTGGAATCTTTCAAAGTCATGGAGACTCACGGAACATATGCAGAACACAGGATCCAAAATGGCTCTGCAGTTCCTGAGCACTGCACATGAAACCAGTCAGAAATACATTCTTTTCAGTTCTTTATGTATGTATGTCTAGTGTGAAGCCAACCAAGTCTTTCAGTAGAAAAGTTTAAGCCAAATTAATTTTTGATAGAACTGTCCCAATTCCTTATTTGCACAAGAGAGAAACCAATCCAGGAATTCCAGATACAAAAGACCCCTTTCCCTCATTCTTTGCACCATTGTGAATCTGTTCATCAGCCTGCCCTCACTCTGCACAGTATACTTTTTTCTACTTTCAATAAGTGTACATCTCACTAGCTTTCATGTTTGTCCTTTCTACTTCTTCATTAAGGAAACCAAGGACCTGGGAAGAATTCTGATGTGATGTACCCATCAGGTAACCGTCTAGGTACAGTTAGGCTTTATATAATGAAACCAACATACTCATATCCGATGATTTAGTATATTCTTTTTGGTATACAGGTAGTAGAAATATGTGTATATTTACCAAAACACTTATGTGAGAATATTTTTAGCACAGTATTATTTATGATAGCTCCAAACTAGAATCAACCCAATTGCCCATTAAGAGCAAAGTATATATAAATTATGGTATGCTTACATAATGGAATGATATTGCAATGAAAATGAAGTACTTCCAAGCAAAAACTTTGTCCAGTCTAGCAAATATGTAAAGAAGCAAAATGCAAAAAAACCCATATTGTACTAGTTTATTTTTTCATCTGTATTTTATGAAAAATAAAACAAAGATTCATAATCAAATAAAAGTAACAACAATTTTTTATTTTATTTAAAGAGAAAAAACAGAAAAAGAGTACAAGTAATACAGAATTTCAAAAAATAAACAGTAAGAAATCACTAGTTAATAGATTACATATTGTCATCTTAGTTGTTCAAGTTACAAAATTAAAGCATACAAAGTGGACATTCAAACAGTGAGACTGCAAACAATTGTGTTCAATGATCCAACAAAAACTTAGTAATATAGTTATCTATCTTACACACTTAACCATACATGCAGTTGTATCCTTTAGAGCACTTTCTTTTCCTCTCTTTTTTACAATAACAATTACACATTTTGGGTTTTATTACTCCCACAGTTATTATTACTTTTTTTTTGCAAGAGAATAAATGTGACAAAACAAAACAGTCAGTTAAAACAAAGGATGAACATAGTACATGATATAAAAACAGAATACAAGGTGATTAACAATGCTTACCATAATGCCTCTTGCTACCTTAAAAAGAATTGCCTATATCATCAGATATAATAAAATTGAACAAAACAGTACAGAACAAAACCAATAAAACTGAAACATTGGAGACATTACAGGACTTCAAAAGAAGAGAATGGTCAAACCATACTGGGCATCATAGTAAATCTTCTTGCCTTCAAAGTGGTTGCCTATACCCTCAAACTTGATACTATCAAACAAAACAGAATAGAGTAAAATCAGTCAAAACAAGATGGTGAGAGCAATACAGGGGTTCAAAACAGGTTAATAGGAAATCAAAAAAGTTACTATAATACATCCTGCTATTTTTTATTTTTCCCTTAATTAAAAAATAATAAAAAATAAATTTTTTAAAAAGGAGATTGAGATAAAAGAGGACACAACAACACAGGTCAGAACAGAACAATTTAAGCAACATAGTGTTTCACCACAAGATAACCCAACATAATAGTAGTTACCACAGTGACTCTTTTCTTGAAATATTTGAGAATAACTTCGTATACTATAGCATCAAACATATCAAGATAGTGTGAAACCATTCAAGAGAATGAAAGTATTACAGGGTATTTAGAACCAAACGAACACTGGTTTCTGTATTATCTCCTTGCCTATAAAAAATTTTGTTTATACTATCACATATAATAAAATCCAATAAGATACAACATGATAAAACCAATGGAGACAGAAGAACAACAGCTTGATGGGACTTCAAAACAAGATAATACTAAATCAGCACTAGCTATTTTGATGTCTTGTTTTCTTCAGAATAACTGTTCATACCATCACAGACAATAAAATCAAACAACCCAGAATAAAACCATTGCAATTAATGAGTGAAAACATTATAAGGCTTCAAAGCAGTATAATGGGGAATCATGATTACCACATACTTTTATGTATTCTCACCGTTTCTTACACTAGGGAAACTATTCGGTATT